CCGATTTTTTTGGCAAGGGACGATTGACAGCTTATGATTCGTGATACACGGATGTGCGCGCACACTTTTTTGCAGACAGTGGCAGGGGGGTGCGATACCTGCCTGGCTGGGATAGTTTGAATTCACAAGGAAGATGGACGTTGGGTCAGAACCACATGTGCTTTGTACCAGTCCCCGGGGAATCGATAAGTCTGGGGGGGGTAAAACCTATCTCCTGTTTTGGGAGGAGAACCTACGTTGTGCAAGATATATGGTGCAACCCATGTGATGCAAGATTTGCGGTGCGAGCTCTATTGATGGTGCAATATACGAAGTGAATTAAATTTCTGTTCGCAGTGAGTTGTCCACTCCACTGCTCGCGCAAACATCCCACCCACCCACCCGCAACTTGGATTGCAAAATCTCTTAAGACCGTGACGGTGGGTACCACATGGCACTTGGCAACAACAGCGACGCCGACGACGACAGCGACAACGACGATGACGACGCGGCCGACAACGACTACGACGACACCGACGACGTCTCCAACGATTTCGACGACGCCGACAACGACGACGACGACACCGACGACGACGACGACGACGACGACACCGACGCCGACGACGACGACGATGACAACGACGACGACGATGACGACGCCGACGACAACGATAACGACACCGACGACGACGACGTCAACGACGCCGACGACGACGACGACGACGACGACGACGACGGCGGCGGCGACGACGACGACGCCGACGTCGACGCCGACGAAGACGACAACGACGCCGACGCCGACGACGACATCGCCAACGACGACGACGACGAAGGAGGGAGGACGACGACGGCGACAACGACAACGACGAGGGAGGAGGGAGGACGGCGACGACGCGAACGACGAAGAAGGAGGAAGGACGGCGACGCCGACGACGGCAACGACGAGGGAGGAGGGAAGACGACGACGACGACAACGACGACGACGACGACGACGACGGCGACGAAATAGGAGGGACGACGACGACGAGACGAGGACGACGGACGACGACGACGACGACGAGGGAGGAGGAAGGACAACCACGGCGACAACGACGACGGAAACGACCACGACGCCAAAGAGGACGACGACGACGAACACGAGGAAAGACAAAGGACGACGTAGGCGACGACGACGACGACGACAACGACGCGGGAGGAGGGAGGACGGCGACGACGACGACGACGACGACGCAAGAGCGCGCGCGCACGCTTTGGTTGAAAATCCGTGTTGCGAAACCTTGTGTTTTTGTAGTTTTTTTGGACACACGATTTTGAAACCCTTCCGAAACCTATGGGTTTTGAAGGTTTTCGGCGTACGCGCGCGACGACGCGCGCGTCTGCACTTCGTCTTATTTGTTGCAGGGGGTTCTCGCGACGGCACACGCGCAAGGGCGTTCGACAGATTTCGACATGAGCGCGCGCGAAGCCCGTTTGGTAGCATTTTGTGGGAAGCTTGAAAAACCTGTGGTTTTCTCAAGATTTCGAAAGAGTTTTCGCGGAAGCTGTTTTAGCAAATCAGTGTTGCGAAACCATGTGTTTTTGTATGTTTATTGGAAACTCGATTGCGAAATCCTTCCCGCACCGAAGGTTTTTGAAGGATTTCGGCATGCGCGTGCGACGACGCGCTCGTGAGCACTTCGTCTCATTTGCTGCAAGGGATTCGTTTAAAAAGTGTTGTGTTATAACAAACATGTCACCGCTTAATGTTTTTTTTTTTACAAGGGAACCTCAGGGGGGGGAACCCGGCCTGGCTGGGATGATACGATTTCATATTTAGGATGAACGAGTGTGCAGAATATCTATATATATATACATATGTATATATATATATATATATGTGTGAAATCATATTATCCCAGGGAAGCCCGATAAGTCCGGGGGGGGTGGAGTCTATTCTTTTTAGAAAGGAGAATCTACGATGTGCAATTGATTTTTAACCATGATGTGACACATCCCACGCTCTTGCAAACATCCCACCCACCCACCCGCAACTTGGTGTGCAAAACCTCTTAAGACCGACTACGACGACACCGACGACAACGACTACGACGACACCGACGACGTCTCCGACGACTTCGACGACGATAACGACGCAGACGCCGACGACGACGAAGACGACGACGACGCCAACGAAGACGACGACGAGGGAGGAGGAAGGACGACGACGGCGACAACGACGACAACGACGAGAACGACGAGGGAGGAGGGAGGACGGCGACGACGCGAACGACGAAGGAGGAAGGACGGCGACGCCGACGACGACAACGACGAGGGAGGAGGGAAGACGACGACAACGACGACGACGACGACGACGACGGCGACGAAATGGGAGGAACGACGACGAGACGCCGACGACGGACGACGACGAAGGAGGAAGAGGAAGGACAACCACGGCGACAACGACGACGGAAACGACCACGAAGCCGAAGAGGACGAAGACGACGAACACGAGGAAAGACAGAGGACGACGTAGGCGACGACGACGACGACGACGACGCGGGAGGAGGGAGGACGGCGACGACGACGACGACGACGACGCAAGAGCGCGCGCGCACGCTTTGGTTGAAAATCCGTGTTGCGAAACCTTATGTTTTTGTATGTTTTTTGGACACACAATTTTGAACTCCTTCCGAAACCGATGTGTTTGAAGGTTTTCGGCGTACGCGCGCGACGACGCGCGCGTCTGCACTTCGTCATATTTTTTTTCAGGGGATTCTCGCGACGGCACACGCGCAAGGGCGTTCGACAGATTTCGACATGCGCGCGCGAAACCCGTTTAATAGCATGTTGCGAAAATCTTGGAAAACCTAAGGTTTCCTGAATTAAGATTTCGCAAGAGCTCGCGCGGAAGCTTTTTTAGCAAATCACTGTTGCGAAACCATGTTGGAAACTCGATTGCGGAATCCTTCCGGCACCGAAGGTTTTTGAAGGATTTCGGCATGCGCGCGCGACGACGCGCGCGTGCACACTTCGTCACATTTTTTGCAAGAAGGATTCGTGAAAAAGTGTTTGTTAGAACAACAAATGTCACCGCATAGTGTTTTTCACAAGGGAACCTCAGGGGGGGGAACCCGGCTGGCCTGGGACATTGTGATTTCATATTTAGGATGGACATGTGGTCAGAATCATATGATTTACATACCCGAAGGGGGGTAGCGGTAACGCCGGGAGGGGGGGATAGAGTCTATTCTCTTTTTGGAAAGGAGAACTAATTTCTGTTCGCAAAGAGTTGTCCACTCCACTGCTCGCGCAAACATCCCACCCACCCACCCGCAACTTGGCTTGCACAATCTCTTAAGACCGTGACGGTGGATACCAAATGGCACTTGGCAACGACAGCGACGCCGACGACGACAGCGACAACGACGACGACGACGCCGCCGACAACGACTACGACGACACCGACGACGTCTCAAACGACTTCGACGACGCCGACAACGACGACGACGACGACGACGACACTGACGACGACGACGCCGCCGACGACGATGACGACGACGACGACAACGACGACACCGACGACGACGACGTCAACGACGCCGACGACGACGACGACGACGACGGCGGCGACAACGACGACACCGACGACGACGACGACAACGACGCCGACGACGACGACGACGTCGCCAACGAAGACGACGACGAGGGAGGAGGGAGGACGACGACGGCGACAACGACAACAGCGACGACAACGACGAGGTAGGAGGGAGGACGGCGACGACGCAAACGACGAAGAAGGAGGAAGGACGGCGACACCGACGACGACAACGACGAGGGAGGAGGGAAGACGACAACGACAAGGACGACGACGACGACGACGACAGCACCGAAATAGGAGGGACGACGACGAGACGCCGACGACGGACGACGACGACGACGAGGGAGGAGGAGGAAGGACAACCACGGCGACAACGACGACGGAAACGACCACGACGCCAAAGAGGACGACGACGACGAACACGAGGAAAGACAGAGGACGACGTAGGCGACGACGACGACGACGACGACAACGACGCGGGAGGAGGGAGGACGACGACGACGACGACGCAAGAGCGCGCGCGCACGCTTTGGTTGAAAATCCGTATTGCGAAACCTTGGGTTTTTGTAGATTGTTTGGGCAAGCGATTTTGAAATCCTTCCGAAGCCGATGGGTTTTGAAGGTTTTCGGCGTACGCGCGCGACGACACGCGCGTCTGCACTTCGTCCCATTTTTTGCAGAGGATTCTCGCGACGGCACACGGGCAAGGGCGCTCGACAGATTTCGACATGCGCGCGCGAAACCCGTTTAATAGCATGTTGCGAAAATCTTGGAAAACCTATGGTTTCCTGAATTAAGATTTCGCAAGAGCTCGCGCGGAAGTTGTTTCAGCAAATCAGTGTTGCGAAACCCTGTGTTTTTGTATGTGTTTTGGAAACTCGATTGCGAAATCCTTCCGGCACCGAAGGTTTTTGAAGGATTTCGGCATGCGCGCGCGACGACGCGCGCGTGCGCACTTCGTCACATGTTTTGCAAGGGATTCGTGAAAAAGTGCTTTGCTAGAACACAAAATGTCACCGCATAATTTTTTAACTAGGGAACCTCAGGGGGGGGGAACCCGGTTGGCATTTGACATCGCGATTTCATATTTAGGATGGACATGTGGCCAAAATCATAGATGATTTACATACCCGGGGGGGGTAGCGATAATTCCTGGGGGGGGTAGAGTTCATTTTGTCTTCAGAAGGGAGAATCTAGGGCGGCGACCTGGCGATGACGGGGCGGCCACGGCGGCCACATTGCCGCCAGACCGACAGACAGGCCCAGAGGACGGGCGGCGACGAGGCGGCGACGGGGCGGCGACGCCTGGCACGGAGCCGCCAGACCGACACACAGGCCCAAGGTCTTCAGACCCAAGTCAAAAAACAGAAAAAAGCCTAAGTGCAAGCACTGGTTGGGGAATCTTTATATCTCTATACGCACATAAATATACTTACATGTAGAGAGAGAGAGGGGGACTACACAAAAAAGAGCGAGATTCAGAGACTGGCGCGAACGGCAAGCGTGCCACGCATCGGGCCCGAAAGAACGTCTCGGCAGCTCTGGCTCTGCGGCATATGCATCAAATAACGGCACGAGCGAGGAGTAACTGAGCGGGTGCGCGAGCCTGCTGAACGCGCCCTGCATCTGCACGAGTCTCCTTCTGCAGCCGGAGCCGGCAACAAAAATAGTCCTTCGTGAGATTAAAACGAGGCAGCCACCCTCCCTGCCTGGCACCGCCTGGACATGCAGGAAGAGGCAGTACCGCCCGCTCATGAGGGCAGACTGGCGGATCTGCTCTTCTAAAGCGAGCCCGAGTTCCCCCTCGGGGGGTGGGGGGGGAGCTGGCCCCCCCTCCCCCATGCCCTCTCCCTGGCCATCTGAAGTGGAGGGGGGGAGGCCTCTCGCGCCCACGGATACCCCTCCCGCAAAGTCGACTCCCCAGACTTCTCCTGGGACCGTTCGGACAAGAATTTCGAGGGGTGCCCCAGCCGTGCCACGTGGGTGCCCTAGAAGGCTCAAACAGGCCCCAAGACAGTATGACTCCAACACAAAACCAGATTGCATCCAGGGCGGCGCACGTAGCCTGAGCTGGCCCAAGATGGCCTCAACCGTGGCCCCGAGAGCCCGAAGAAAATCCCAAGACGGCTCTGAGATGACCGACCAGCCTCCCGAGAAAGCCTCCGAGAAGTCAGTCAGAAGATGGCGTTTCCATGGGTTCGTCATCTGGCCTTTCTGGTCTCCGATGGGCCTCTGAGGCATCAAGATGGCCACGAGGTGGCCCAAGAAAGCCCTCAGAGAGGCCCAAAAATGGCACCAAGCGGGCCCGAAAGGCTCCCAAGAGAAACCCTAGAAAGCTACGTACAAGGAAACATCAGAGACGATTCGTAGGGTTCCAAGGGGGGTCGTAGTTGAGGACCTCCCTTCTCCCTCGATGTCAGAAGGCCCTACTGCTCCCAAAAATCCCCAAGAGAGCCCCAAGAGAGCCCGAAGAGCACCTGAAGAGAGCTCCAAGACGACTCCAAGGGTCTCAAGGGAACCCTCAAGAGGCTCCACAAGGGTCCAATGGGATAATTTTGGAGACTGCATGGGCCGACCTCATTTGGTTGGACTCGTGTCCTCACTGTGTTTCACGAATGCTCGTCCATGCCATGTCTCACGACAGTTCGCTCGGAGGCCGTTAGGAATTTGCACGTTATTCCTGGTTTGACGTGATTCTGCGATGCACGGCTGGTAGATCGGCGATCGGCCCCCCAGTTGCGACGCCGCACATTCCTGGGCGTGGTGGGTCACCCAGGTCCGTCTCGGCGAGACGTGGGCGGCTGTGGACTGCTGGTCGAAGTCCCGGGGACATCGACCCGCAGTCCCCCGTGGGGGCAAGGGGCGAATTGACCGCCAGGGGGGCAAGTTGACCGCACAGGGGGGCAAGTCCCCCCTGTGCATGCACGCCTCGGTGACACCTCTACAGACGTGGGCCATCTCTGACCCGCAGGCGCACCAGATGTCCCCCCCCGGCCAATCCCTCCCCCTCTCCGCGGCACAGCCCGCGCCGCCGAGACCGCGGCGGGGCGTCTGTCTTCTTCAGGTCTGGACGGCTACATCTGAGGAGAGGCCAACGGTCTGATTGGCGGGAGGATCTGCGGGCAAGAAGATTATGGTTTATCAGCCTCGAGGGGCACCCAAGAGATGAGCGAGTTATGCTGAGACGACTAAGAGGCGCGCCAGTAGCACACACACAACCACTAACACGATGAACGGACGCGGCCGCCGATACACATATATATACATATTGTGTATATATATAAATATATTTATATAGATGTGTATATATACATCTATATATATGTATGCCCGAAGAAAGTAGCGCATCAACAACACCCGGGTGTTGGGGCGCCGCCCTAGACACGAGCAGCACCTTGCCATATGACAAACTACACTTGCTATAGCGATACAACATACACACCAGATGTTAGGTGCACACCTATCGTACACTACCATATAATACCTTCGCCCTAATCCCCCAACCCCCATACGCCACCATGAAGTACGAACTAGCAGCCAGACTATCCTACGTAATAGCATTAAGGCGGCGCCAAGCACCCGCCTCATGGTCGCACATCCTGCCTCACAATTCGCCAGGATCCAGGGGAGCAGCCCAGGGCGGCAAACGAGAGCGGGAGAGCAGCCAGGAGCATCACATGATCCCTGAGGTCGATATCATACTACTGGTTGAACTGTCCTAGCGCATGCTTTCCTTTCAGGGTCGGGGTCACAAGTCATCGTTCTAATCCGCTAGGTCACTGCCGCCAGCAGGCGCCGCCGCGCTTCTCCAGCGGGCCCATCAACAGGCACCCCTCGAAGAACGAGGGCCTGACCTCGACGAATGCTGGATCGGCTGGCGCCACTGCGGCACGGCCCCGGCAGCCCGGATCGGCCAGCTGGGGGAGCCCAGGGACAAAGCCGGCGTAGGCGGGCTCGGCGCTGCCGCAGATGCAAGCCGTGGGGGCCAGGCGCCGCGCACAGCCAGCAGCACCCGCCAGAAGCTCGGCGGCGCCGAGCAGAGGCTGGGCCGGCTCCGCCGCGGCCCCTGCCGGCCCCGGGGCCGACGGCCCCGGGGCCGGTGCGGCACCTGGCCGCGGCTCCGCCGACGCAGGGCTCTCGGGGAGGCTGCGCACCGCCTCCGCCCGGTCGCCTGGCGCGCCGCCGAGCGCACTGGGCGCGGGCGCCAGGCCCCGCCAGGCCGCGCGGGCTGCAGGCCCTGGGCCGCCCTGGGCCTCCCAGCGGCCGGGGGGCGGCGGCAGTCCGCGCGGCGGGCTCTCGGCCACGGCCGCGCGCGCGGGCGGCAGGCGGTCGGCGAGCACCTGGAACACCTGCTGCGCCGCGCCTGAGCGTCGTTTGCAGAGGCCTCCGGGCTGGGACCCGAGCAGATGGGGTCGGAGGACAGCGCCGCATCGCCGATGCATCGGCGCCGTCGGCGTGGAAAAAATCGGGGTCCACCTCGAAGCACGTCGCCGAGATGTCGGCGATGCGGCGCGATCCTCCAACCCCATCTACTGGGACCCCATCTGGGGGGCCTAGGATTTTAATCGATTCCCATTCCCACTGGCGTGGCCTCGACACCACTGGCCGATTCCTCCCCCCAGATTGGCATATACGCTGTTTCCTTCGGACTTCGCGTGTTCTGCCGATGCGCCGTCAGGGCGCGGCTCTTGCGTGCGTGATTCGGGCTTCGCGGGAGCGATCCCCACCTGCGGGGGGACTGCTGGTGGGGCTGAGATACCATGGCCCAGTGAGGATGGGCATGGACTAGTCAATGCTGCACGCCGGCGCAGATGCTGCCGATGATCGCCTCGAGGTCGGAGATGCTCTCGCTGGCGTCGTCGTGCAGCTGGTGGTCATGGGCATCCTCGGGGTCTCAGGGGGGGTAACAAGAAGAAACTGACAACGCCGATGTCCCAACCTCTCCTGGGGGCTGGAGGCTTGGAAATGGGCACCAACACCAACACCGCGGGACTATGATCCTAGATTTTGGTGTTCGTGGTGGAAGCCCGAGTATCATCACAATCACTGAGACCATTATCATCTTCCATCGGTGAAGGCACACCGACGATATTGATGCAGGTGCGAACCTCGTAGCTCTACCCTGAGATCCGACATTGTGAAAGACATGCAACATTGCAAACGATGACGACTGGATTTCGAGCAGGGTAAATCTGTGAGGGCCACGTGGCCCGAACTCAACAAAAAATGCGACGCACGGATCTCAGGGTCTACACCGCCGAGTTTGGGAGAGCCAAAAGGTACCGGTGCCCCTATTCCCAGACTTCTCTCGGGATGCGTTCCGACCAGGATTTCGAGGGGAATCCAGCCGTGGCGACGAATGCCTCCTAGGAGGCCCAAAAAGACGGAAACACGGGAAGGCCAGAGGTATCTGTACCTTGTCCTCCTCTGAATGTTGATGTTGGTGCCAACCTCTAGGCTCTAGGCCCCCGAAAGATGGCATCGGTCTCGGCCGCAATCCTCAGACGCCAGCGCCGGGAAGGCCGGCACGGGCCGCAGCGCAGGCCCTGAGCTGGGCGGCCAGCTGGGCTCCACGGAGGGCGAGCGCGGCAAGGGCACGTCCTCAGCCGTCTCCTGCGGGTATGCTTGTGTGCGTGGATGCCTCTGTCTCTCTCTTTTTTTTTTTTTCTCTCTCTCTCTCTCTCTCCCTATATGTATATGTGTATCCCTCCCCCTCCGTCCATCTCTCGCTCTCAAGCCCAGTATGGAAGAATCGCACACAGACCTCTCGGGCGGGAGAATTTGCTGCTTATGCTGTGCGCGGGGCCCTGCTGTCTCAACCCAGCAAGCTTTTCAGTGACTGTGCCAACGTGGTTGGCATGCACTGTTTGCGTGCCTACGCTCGCCTTGCGCCTGACCGACCGTACGCAGGGATGGTGATGCAGGAGCGGGCTCTGGGCGGGAGCAAAATATTGTGCTCTGAGAATGTCATGGCGCATCAGACGCTAGATGACCCTGATAGTTCTCCTTACGAGCGTTTACTCCAAGCCGGCAGCGACTATGTCGATCTTGCTGCCAAGTTCGGAGCGGCATCGCATCTGTCCGCTGCCGCTGCCACATTGGCCGACATTGATGCTGATGTTTTGCTTTGTAAATATACAGTCAGGATTCCCGCGGACCTGCTCCCGATGTGGCCAAGGACCAACCTCAAGGAGGTACCCTGGGCCAACCCGCGAGCACCAGAGCAGGCTGAGGCATCTAGCCCCTACACGTGGGTATGGTTAGGCCGTCCCGTCGGTTCGCAGCGTTTGTGGCATTGTTCGGATTGTCTCCGCACCAAGCGTCCCAGTCACATTTGCCCGCCCCCCGGCCGTTGCTCAGAGTCCCCTCGGATTGATCTGCAGACGCTTCGTGATTTGAATCAAAAATATGAAACATTTGTTTGTTCGAACGACTCTCTGGTGGTCGTTTGCCTGGAATGCAAGTGCTCGTCTGGCCAAACTCGGAGAGTTGTGCGTGGGGCGGAAGAAAGACCTCAACACTGGCATTAACGAATATACCCGGGATGCCGGAATAAGGTGCACAAAGGCCTCCATCCCAGAGAAAGGGGGGCACTCTGCTATATTCTAGCGTGCTTTAGTCACGCAGAGCGGCCGCAATGCTCCAAAAAAACACTCCTCCATGCATATTTCGTTGTCATGATTTCCCCGCCCTCTCTCTCAATCTCTCTCTCCCTCTCTCTGTCTCTCTCTCTCTTTTCTCTCTCTCTCTCTCACTCTCTCTCTCTCTCTCCCTCTATACATATTCGCCGGCCCAACGGGCCAAAGGCGTGCTAAGATCTCCGGCAACTGGTTAACAA